GATTTATAGTCAAATTTTCATACCAACTACTGATATAAAAAAATTTGATCATCAAATCTAAGTCACAACTAAAGAAAAAATAATTTGTTCTAAGATAAATGCACTTTTATGTCTGCACTGTATTAAAAGAAAAAATAATTATATTTAAGAACAATTATTCATGAATAATTTATATATAAAATAATGAAAGAAAGAAAAAAAGAGAAATACTTATGACTAGCTATTAAGGGTGAGCAACGGGTGGGTTTGGTCGGGTTTGGGCGAAAAATGTCCAACCCATTGTAAACCAACTTTGGAAAAATGTGACCCATATCCGATCGACTGAGCTTTCAATTTGAGACGGTTCGGGTTGAAACGGATTCGGATTTGAGTGGGTGGGTACAATCGGGTTTGTATTTTTTTGGAGAACAAGTTATCTTAACCAAGATGAAGCTTAAAAGATAAAAAAATATTTTTAAAATAGTGTATAAAAATAGAATGAAGGTGACAATAGATGGTATAAGTAGATTCGTAGATGAAACATTTTCAAACTAAAGAAGTAAAAATAAAAGATAACAAAATTCATAGTTGTTACATGCAAAAGAAATCTAAAGTTAGATTACAAAACCCATAAGAAACCATAGTCGCACAAGTTGTACTTAAAATGGAGATAAGAAGATGGAAAAAAAAGACAAAGAAAGAAACAAAAAGAAAACTAAAAATGTACTAGTATGTTGAAAAGTTGAATGAGGAAGGAGAAGACAAAATAAATATCTAAGTTATGAGAAAAAGGAAAAAAATAAGTTACAAATTGATGGCTATATTATACTTGAAATAAAGACTTTTAAGTTTGGATCATTGTTGTTTAGTTATACAAAAGTATTGGGTTTGGTTTTTAACGGGTTTAAAAATTCAAAACCGAACCTGCCTTATATAACCCGTATAAAATCAAAATTTTAACCTAATCACTAGTTTCAGACACAATCAAGAGAAAGTACTCATAAGAAGTTCTAGAAAATAATTAAAGGGTAAAATGGTTTATATAAAATGAAAATTAATTATGAATACCGATGTACCCCATTTATATGTATAGATTTTAAACCATAGAAAATGATTAAGGACCGGTTGAAACATGTGACTCATTTTTATTTTTATTTTTGATTAGGTATCCTCAAATACATTGAGTTTAAATGTAAGACTTTGACATGTCAAAACAAATTTCAAAGAGAACCGAGTTAACAGCACAGGTTGAATGATAAACAAAAGGCATGCAGACATATTGCAATACAAAAAAATAGACTATTTGATAGTTTGTTTTATGTTAAAAATGACATGATATAATAGACTATTTTACCAAAATAATATTATTTTAATTTTTTTTTTACCTAAATAGTAATTGTGCAAATTTATTTACCAAACTAACACTGTTTACTGTTCACGTTTAGAACGAGCCGTTCTGATATCAGAACAGGTCGTTCTAGATGAAAAAATAACATATGGCAAATGGATCAGAACGGTCCATTCCAGATTCAGAACGGGCCATTCCGGATTCAAAATTAACACATGATCACTGAAACCAGAACGACCAGTTCTGAATTCGAAACTGGCCGTTCTAGCCACTTCTGAGTTCTAATAGGTCGACATATGGAACAATAGACGTGAGCACACATTAATGAGTCATCCAATGCAAGACCCATTGTTTCATACACGAGAATATATGGAATGGTACATGGCCAATTTTATCTATTTCCTATCTCTGTGCCATGACTACTACAATGCAAGCTCCAACATAAAGATTATTGGCTAATAAATGACAAGTCTAGATAACCTGCACATCACACTAGGAAGACATGTCTAAATAATGTATAATTATAATAGTTTATAAGCGACATAGTGCATTAAAAGTAAAAATACATAACATTAAAATTCAGTGACGGATGTACATTGAAGGGAGTGAGGACACTTGCCCCCACTACAATTTACATACATATTTTTTATCAAAAAATAATATTTTAAAAATAAAAGTTATATTTTAATAAAATAAATAAATATATTTAAATTATCATATGTATAAAATATAAATTCGGAAGAAATGTTCATTTATTTAATATTTTTCAATTTTTCGAAGGAGATTCGTTCTCATATATGATAAAGAATATTCCTTGATAACAAATCAAATTTCTTAAAAAATTTAATTATAGTATATATATATATATTAATACTCACATGTATAATGTAATATATTAAAAAAATAATTTTTGATAAAATAAAATTTGCAGTATGTATATTTATTTTTTGTACTTTCTATTTATTATGTAAAGATTGTAAGATTGTGTGCGTTAATTAAAAAAATCAAAATAAGAAAGATTGGATGATTTATGTTCTATTTAGAATTTTTATTATAAAATGTTTTAATCTTCGTAATGGTGTAAATTATTTGGACATGTCTTTCTAGTGTGATGTGCAGGTTATCTAAGCTTGTCATTATTTGTCAATAATCTTCATGTCGGAAATTGCATTGTAGTAGTCGTGGCACAGATAGGAAATAGATAGAATTGACCATGTACCATTCCATGTATTCTTGTGTTTGAAACAATGAACTTTGCATTAGATGACCCATCAATGTGTGCTAATGTCTACTGCTCCATATGTTGGCCCATCAGAAGTGGCCAGAACGACTCGTTCTAGATTCAAAACTGCCCGTTCTGGTTCCACTGATTATGTGTTAATTTTGAATCCGGAACGGCCCGTTCTGAATCCGGAACGGCCCGTTCTAATCCATTCATCATGTATTATTTTTTCATTTGGAACAACCTATTCTGATATCAAAACGGCCCATTTTAAACGTGAACAATAAACCGTGCTAGTTTGGTAAATAAATTTGCACAATTATTATTTGGGTAATTTTTTTTTAAAATAATATTATTTCTGTAAAAAAGTCGATATAATAAAGTGATTAGTGAAATAAAATAAAATAAGATGTCAAATTTCACGGTTCATAATTTCAACTTTCCAATTGTCACATGTCGTTTTTCACTTCCGTGAATTTCTTCTCCTTCTGTTCGTACCCCGAAAGTGTATTACAATTTCCTGGAATTGTCAAGCTTGTCTGTTTCTTCCATGACAAGAAAAAGAAGAAACCAAGGAATGTTCAGATTTTCTGATTCTGATTGTGGTGCATACGGGGAAAAACTCAAGTCCCACATCGACTAGAGATTAGGCAGTTGAATAGTATATAAGTGGAAAGCAACCCTCACCTGACAAGCCGGTTTTGTAGGGTTGAGTTAAACTTAATTCACTATTCTAAGATGGTATCAGAGCCATTTAGATCCATTTTAAAAAAGCTCAATAGTGCTGGACATGAGGGGGTGTATTGGGAAAAACCCAAGTCCCACATCGACTAGAGATTAGGCACTTGAATAGTATATAAGTGGAAAGCAACCCTCACCTTACAAAGCCGGTTTTGTAGGGTTGAGCTAGGCTTAATCCACTATTCTAACAGTGCAACATGATGACAACTAGAAAATTCCTGTGGCAATAGTGCTGGACATGAGGGGGTGTATTGGGAAAAACCCAAGTCCCACATCGACTAGAGATTAGGCACTTGAATAGTATATAAGTGGAAAGCAACCCTCACCTTACAAAGCCGGTTTTGTAGGGTTGAGCTAGGCTTAATCCACTATTCTAACAGTGCAACATGATGACAACTAGAAAATTCCTGTGGCAATAGTGCTGGACATGAGGGGGTGTATTGGGAAAAACCCAAGTCCCACATCGACTAGAGATTAGGCACTTGAATAGTATATAAGTGGAAAGCAACCCTCACCTTACAAAGCCGGTTGAACTAGGCTTAATCCATTATTCTAACAGTGCAACATGATGACAGCTAGAAAATTCCTGTGGCTCATCTATATTTTCTTTATTCTTGGGTCGCAATTTCTTGATAACAATACATTTTCCCTTTCCAAAAAAATAATTCAGTCAACGCCAATCTTTTCATCAACTAAATAAACAAAATTATCAATTAACATTAACACACAAACACGAGTAATTATATGCCTTAACATGAAACCCCTGGTACTAATTCATGACCCGTTTGTTTGCTTTCCATTCTTAGCTTAAATTATTTAATTAACAAGTTTCGCTGACTGGACCCATTTATATAATCACGCAGTGACTGACTTTTCTGTATTCTATTTATTTTGCCCAAAAGAAGGGTCACCATTTTTAGCTCTCTTTCAGCAAAAGGACGTGTTAATTTAGTAAACCACATAAGGGCTTGTATAAAAGACATCAATGAAGTAACTGCCAATATTTTTTTCTTCTTCATGTTTATCATTTATTTCTTCTATCTCATCATATTATGTGTACTTGGTTAAAAACAAATTGTTGATCTGAGCCAAGAAATTAATTTGGATTTTGTTGACAAAAGAAAAACATAATTTAGAAAAGAAATATCTCAGATGGTGAACAACTAAAACTATTGGTGGAGATTAATCGTCACTAAGAACAATTATTGTTCCCGTCATTATTATGATATCGCTATACAAGTATTTTAATTTATTTCAAACTTTAATAAAATAAAGAAAATGGTGATTACTTTTAACAATATCCCTATTTATTAATATCTTATCTAAATACTTGGACAAATTCACTATTTTAATTTTCTTATTAGGAAAATATTTTTATTAAAAAACCATTTTTTATCATAATAGTAACTTATATAATTAACGTACATATTACCTCAAAAGACAAATAATGAGTAACATTACAATAGTTTGTAACACTTTATCTCAAAAGTTTTTCTCATCTCAGAAACAAAGTCAAAAAGACATGTTTATAACACATTTTGCAATATGAATCTAGGAAACCGCGTGGTGACTTAGACTGGTACATTGTGGTCCAACTACAGCTAGCCAAGGACTTGGAATGGTTTTGATGCTTTGTTCTTTTCTTGGTTGATGATCCTTTGACTTGTGGGATGTAACGATTAGGACTTTTACTTATAAAATAACTTGCAGTTGCAGGAGACAAATTGTCATTGAACTATTGCAAAATCTGTTTGGAATACAAGTCCAAATGAAATAACAACACATGGAAAGAAAAGAATACATGAAATGATAGCATCTGAGATCTTCTTCCTTTTAATTTTTGGCCACTAGAGATGATATGGAATAGCATTAGCTTCTTCAAATGAGGAAAACACCACCCCCCAGTTTGCATCAGTCTAACCAAAGAAAAAAGAATGTTGGTCTCCAAGATAGAGGTGCAGGCAATGGCAAGCATAGGCACAATGCTGAGAACCATACTCCTCTCACAAATTTCAAGTCTTCTTTGAAGAAATTTTTTACATTTTTTTTCTCTGGGAAAAGTAAAACAGCCTCAGAAGCTCCCCAAAGTGATGACAGAAAGAATACACACAAAGTTAGAGGGGTACCATGTAAGTCTGATGAATAATGGTTTGTGTTTTCTTTTCTACCATTTGATGATGTGAAGTGAATTCAAAGCATGTCTGGATTCACGTCAATTTTGGTTGGAACTTGGAAGTGATAACAATTAGTTGCTTTTCCAATGATTTTCGTGTGATTTTTACGTAAATGTGGATCATGTACCTGGAACCAAACACGCACTCATTGTGTTTTTTCTTGGTCAACCCTTTATGTACAATTTTTTTCAGGGTACTTAAATGAGGGGATGATAAATGCTTTTGGGGTACTCATCTTAGTACACAGTCATGTGTTTTTTCAAAACTGAATTTTCTTGGAATTTGCAGATTTCACAGATGTATCATCTGATAGTTCTAAGAATTCATCAAAAAGGGTGTTTTCTCATTCCTCTGCTTCATCTGGCAATTCAAGTAGTCAGCTTGGAATGGGAAACTTCACCTTTGAGGAAATTTACAAGGCAACAGCAAAGTTCTCCCATGATAAGAAGATTGGGGAAGGTGCTTTTGGAACAGTGTATAAGGGAAAGCTTATTGATGGATCCCTTGTAGCTATAAAGCGTGCCAAGAAGGTATGGCATAATGTTCGTCTTTTGATTATTCAACATCTCTAGAATATTTTCAATTGTGATTGAAGTTGATGTAAGAGAAGAAGGTTAGGTTAATCATATTAAACCTGATCACACAAGACTTCTTTAGTTTTATAGTTTTGATCAATGAGCCTGATCTAGTGAAGTTTCTTGGCAGGATTTACAAAACAGGAACTTAGCTGAGTTCAAGAATGAAATAAACACCTTGTCAAGAATTGAGCACAGGAACCTTGTAAGATGGTATGGATATTTGGAGCATGGAGATGAAAAGATTATTGTAGTTGAATATGTTAATAATGGAACTCTTCGGGAACATCTAGATGGTAAGTCCAAGTTTATAATGGAACTCTGTAAATGTGTTAGCAATCCCTCATGTACCAAATCTAGATCTGTGCTGTCTATTGGTATATGGTGCAGTTATAAAATACAACAATTGCTAATTTGCAATAGCCTATAATGACATACATAGAAATTGACAATTATTAATGCAGGTATTAAGGGAGATGGACTAGAAATTGGTGAGCGTCTAGACATAGCAATTGATGTTGCTCATGCAATTACTTACCTTCATATGTACACAGGTATGAGCCCTTAGAATTAGATTACAAAGTAAGAAATATGTAACAACAAATTTGGATCGCTTAACTGTTGCCCTATATCTACATGTATTCATAGCATGTCATTTGTAAAGGGTATGTTTAAATAAACTTCTTTAAAAACACTTATAGAAAAGAAAAATAAGAAGAAAAAATGAAATGTCTTTTATAAACTAAAATTAGTATATGCTTAAGTTAATTTATAGAAGTTTTCTAATTAATTTCTCCAAAATCTTATTTTTAACTTATGTGTAAGCTAGTTTTAATTTATGAAAAAATTTATGTTGATTTTCGTTCCTATTTTTTTTTTCTTCCTAGAAGTACATCTGAAGAGGTTTATCTAAACATGTCCGAAGTCTGCTAAAGTAATCTTATAACAATCTTTAGTCTCGTTTGTGCTCTTAATGCCAGAATGTGTGTGTTGTTTTTTGACAGATCATCCAATTATTCATAGGGACATCAAAGCATCAAATATCTTAATCACTGATAAACTACAGGCCAAAGTGGCAGACTTTGGTTTTGCTAGGTTGGGAGCAGAAGATCCAAGTGCAACCCATGTTTCAACTCAAATTAAAGGAACAGCAGGCTACATGGATCCTGATTATATGCGAACACAACAACTCTCTGAAAAGAGTGACGTTTATTCCTTTGGGGTGTTGCTAGTTGAAATGATGACAGGAAGATATCCAGTTGAACCACAGAGACCCCTCAGTGAGAGAGTTACAATTAAGTGGGTAAGTGGGAGCAAACTACCAAATAGATTGCTAAAACAAAAAAAACAAGTATTTTTACTCCATGAAAACATGCATCATTTTAGAATGAATAGTGATTGGTTCAATTATCTCTCACAAAATATTGAAAACATAAAGAGATTTTTGTGCAGCATCTTTGTTATTCTAAGCATCCTAGTTATTCTAATGCCAAAAGAAGTTGAAGTTAGTATCTCTGTTTACGGAAATGGATTCTCTCAATTGAGATTTTATTCTATCAAGTGGAAATTCTTACATTCAAAAGTCCTTTTTCTTTATCATTTAAATTCTCTCTGTAATTTTTAATCAAGGACTGAGATTCTGCTAGACAGAAATGTCATATGAGAGAATCCAAATCCTGGACTAATATCTTCATTTATAGTAGATGTTGCTTGATAATTATTCTCTTCAAGAGAGTTTTAAGTCACAAATTTAGTTCTACACAACTTATTTAGTTTCAAGCCATACATTGGAGTCATTGACTTATACAATCATTCTACTGGATATATTTTTCTCTTCATGTACCTCTCTCTCATAACACTTATAAATGATCAAGAAAAGTAGCAAATTTGGCATTATGAACCCCTCAATTGGTATAATTTGCATGGCATTCAGGCAATGCAGATGCTGAAACAAGGAGAGTCTGTGATTGCCATGGATCCAAGACTGAGGAGAAATCCAGCCTCAAACAAGGCAGTGGAGAAGGTTCTCAAGATAGCTTTCCAATGCCTTGCACCGTCGAGACGATCACGGCCATCTATGAAGAGTTGTGCAGAGGTTCTGTGGGATATCCGTAAAGATTTTAAAGAAAAAACATCTTCTCATCCTCCTCGTGGTTCTCACCATTCTGCAGATTTCCCTCGAAGAGATGCTAGGAAGAATAGGCATATGACGTTTGGTATTGAAGATGGTAAAGACTATAAATTTGTATCTTCGTAACCAAAATTCACATTTGAAGTTTGTTCATTGATTGTTCTGATAGTCAACACATGTCTACCACAGCTCTTGTTTGTATTATGTTCAATTGTTCATTATTTGAAGCTGTTAGTTTCATGAGGTTTTTCCTTCTTCCATTTTGAAATTCTCAAGGTTTTAGATTTTTTGAGATCAAATGGGCGAGGGTGAATTACAAAAAATAATGGGAAACCTTTGATTTTGGTGTGCACTAGTTTTGTCTTCTGTTTTGTATTTGTCTGTATCATCTTTTATATGATAACTTCGAATGTTCTGTAGAGGCTATTGTAAACGGTGAGAATGTAATGATTGACTTCAATACTGTGATTGTAAATTTGGAGAGTTATGGTTTTAATATGGAATTTTTATATTTGGTTCATAACACTTGGCCTGTAGAAAAAAGGCTTAGTAGATAATTTGATGAAAAAACCTTAATCGGTATTCAATAGTGTTAGCAGAAGCCTAACATTGAAGGACGTCCAACTTAAATTGAAAGACCGAAGTGACATCCACTAGACAACTTTAAACGAAGACGAAAAGAAGTTAACAAAAATGTGGTTAACAGTTACGAGTTAAGTCCAACATCGGTTGGGCATGTTGGTGGCTTTCAAACTTAGCTTATAAAAATGAAATAGGTTTTTTGAAATTAGCTTATAAAAATGAAATAGACTTTGTGAAAACACAAGCCGAAAATTTGTTTTTCTTTTATGTATTTTTTCATGCTTTAGGAAAAAGGAAAAAAGAGAGAAAAATGTTTTTTATTGCATGAGTATTTCTTTCTTATCTTCAAAGAATATTTGAAGTACTTCATTTAGTGAAAAAAAATCACTTGTATCCTTTTCATTTTTATTAAATAGGTTTTTAGGTTACAGATTTTTATTAAATAGTTTATGGTTATTTTATTTATTTTTAGAATTTAATTTACTTTCTTCATTTTTTTAATTAATATTAAAAGTATTATTAAGACGGAAGAATAGTATTGATTTTTTTTAAAAATTAGAAAATTAAAAGTGATGTTATTAATAATAAGATATGTTAATTTTTAAAACAACTTTTATTCTCTTCTAACTTTTATGTAACTCAACTAAGACATGTATCTTCAATACATATCTAACAATTTAACAACTTAATCAATTATAGTTGTATATAACTTTACAACTTATTTATTCATTAACTCATAATTTAGTAACATAAATATCACTACATATTATTCCATCTTTATATAATATTCATCACGTAAACAAATCATCATCCTCCAATTATAAAATAACTTAAAACATCTTATATAAATCATACAACTCATGTCCAATGTCATATACCCTAAATATCCAACATTATTGAGACAAGGGCTTACTGTCTCACCCACGCCCAACATTAAACTCTTTGCGTCCAGCGTGGATGAGGTCAAAAGCCTCCCACTCTCTCATGCTTGATGTGACCCCAACTAGGCAAAGGGCTTCTGCTTGACTCACACTCGACGTCACTTTATTGGGACTTGACATCAATTCAGGTAGAGACGATTCTCCTTCATCACGCTTGATTTCATTCAAACTCATTGATCAAGTTAGAGATAATTCTCTCTCCTCACGCGCGGTGTGATAGACTATGGCCAAGGCCAAGGAATCCAATAGGTGATATCTTAAAAGAACCAAGAGGAATGAGATGATCTTAAAGACCTTTTTCATATGTTTGTACATATAGTAGTTTCTTTGTATAAGCTTATTTTTGCCTTTGTATTTGTGAGGCACTTTACTTGCTTTTATTAGTGATTGTATATTGTTTTTAGGGTGGGTTACTTGGAGAGTTTAACTCCATTTAACCTCCTTTGTTGATACATTCATTTTATATTTTTTCAGTAAGGAAAAAGGGGTGGCATTTAACAATGCTTGAGGGTGTGACTAGTAATTGGGCCAGAACTGGGCCTAGGCAAAATTTTGCATATTAGACTCATTTTGCTCCTAATTTTTTATAGATTTGATTTAGCTAGGTCTCATCATCATATGATGAACCTAACTAAACCAAATCAAATATTTTTGAAATAAATCATGGAGCATTTTTGAGCCTTGGCCGCCTAGCTCATTCCTTTTGTTCTTGGCCGAAATTTCTAGCTTCTCCTACAAGTTTTGAAGCTTGCCTTCCAAGCTTCTAAACCTTAGTAGGTTTGGCTGACCTTACCATGGTTCTTAAGTGAACCATGGTCAAGGTTAGCTTCTCCTACAAGTTTTAGAAACCATGGATGGTTAGCTACACCTTACCATGGTTCCTAGTGAACCATGGTTAAGGTTAACTTCTCCTAGAAGCTACCTCTCCCTATATATTTGTAAATCCCTCTCTTGTAATCACTTTTGAACATTTTGAGAAATAGAAATCATATTTCTTTCTCATTCAAGAGTCTTATAAACCGTAGAGAACTCTCTCTCTAAGGTTTCTATCAAAGTTTCTTCAAACTTTGCCTTGGTTCCTCAAGCTTCCTTCACAAGCTAGGAAGTAACTGAACCTACTCCATTGCTTCTCCACCATTGGAGAATCCTCCAAGGTGATTCCGCCACCTTAAGGAGTTCTACCTCAAAAGTTCTTCGGTCCTTTGCATGGAGGCTTGGTTGAACAACAATCTTCTCCAAGTGCTTCCATCACGGTGTCACCAATATTACGCTCAACGTGAGTGAGATAAAACACCCTTGATTAGGTCACACCCAATGTGATGATGAGTTTTGCACTTGGAAAAAGCTCAATTCATCCAAATTCACCTAAAACTTAGAAATTTACCAACATGCAACATATAATTTGACTTTTAGGCATCCTAAACAACTAAAAAACAACATGCAACCATTACACTCCAAAATCACCAAATTCTACTCTCAAACAACTCATCTCATCATTCATACAACTCAACTACACATAATGATCATAAACAGCCGCAACACTTATGCATCAATAGTTTCAATTTAACAAATTTCTTTTACCTCTAGTTGATTAACTAAGAAGAAGGAAGCAACTTGCACGACCCCAACTTGGTATTCTTGGCTCCTCAAGCTTCAAGTCACCGACAATCACCTTGGATCAACTATATTAAAGGATTAAAGAAGGTCTTTAAGTAGAAAGAGGGAGGAGAAAGATTTGGATTTCAGAGAACTTCTCTCTAACTTTTCTCTAGAATTTCTTAAAATATGAACTTATGATGTTTACAAAAATCTTATATACTCTTCCTTAAGTTGAATAAACTAATCTCTAACTCACCTACCTTAGAGTAGGCATGGCAACAGAGTGGGATGGGTATAGGTTTCATGATATTGTTAAGTCTCATTTATACATATGTTTAGATAGGAATTATTGAACAATTCCACTCACTCCATGCACTCTTGCAATATAATTGTTCTCTTTTTGATTCAATTTTTTTGCAGATATAGCTAACCTAAAACTCATCTAATAATACCCTGATACACCTCATTCTTTGTGCAGGTATTGAGTTAAATAATTGAGGTTGAAGACCCATTGGATTGGAAATTAGAAGAGCTAAGGAGCAGGAGAAGCATCATTGCGCCGGACGCAGACTACCCGTGTCGGGCTTGAGAAACACAAAGACCATCACATCTGCACTTCAGCATTGCACTGGGCGTAAGAGCATCCACACTGGGCGTGATTCAAAACAGAGAGCACTCAAAACTCTATGGAAGACATTGAGCCGGGCGCATGCGCATCCGTGCCGGGCGTGATTCAAGACAGAGAGTAATTACCTCCTCTAAAAGACCTTGTGTCGGGCACGAAGTATAATGCGTCGGGCGTGTAAACCCTATCCTGTCTCCCTCAACTCGTATTTGATCAAATCTTCGAGGCTCATTCCCTCATTCACACATTGGGCGACTTCTAGGAGCTGTGGAAGGGATTCCCGGTGCTTGGGACCGTTCGTGTGTGGGTCTTCCTTCGGTTCTTCCATCTCTATTTTTGTTTCATCCTTATTGTTTTGAGCGGTTTTACCCATTGTTTTGTGGGGTTAGATGTAACCAACATAAATCTCTTGTATTCTTCACATTATCAATGATATATATATGTTGTTTCATTCATTGTTGTGTTATGTTTCTAATTTTAATGCTTGCTTTGGATTGATTCTCCTTTGCTTGATATAGAGTCCATTGGGTATTGGAAAATAGCCTTTTGAACTAGCTCTAAAATAAATACCTAGTGGGAAATGTATCTAGGAATGGAGCTTGACCCATTAGTAGTCTTAAACTCTAACCCGTAATGCAGGTGTAGGTATTGGATACTCAAGAAATTGATATTCATTATCTGCACCTAGACTTTTGTTTTAAGGGATTAGATTTAAGTAAACTTATGGGTTGACTAGGCAATGAATGTAACAAGAGAACAAAGATTCATTAGTGTGAAGTTCAATGATATCTGACCCCACAATCTTACAAACTCACAACACCATTTCTGTCCCTTCCCCACACACAATTTATATTATAGTTTTGAAATTCCAGTAGTCATAATCTTTACTTCAAATGCATGACAATCTATGAAAAATTGGGATTATTCTTTAGTCATAAATAATCATTAAATGCTTGTTTTACCTAACTAGTCCCTGTGGATACGATTTAAATTTACTACTTGAACGGCCAGTACACTTGCCGTGTTTGAGTTCATTGTCAGAGTTAAAACGATTTATGATGAGAAAAAAAATTAATTTCAAAGAAAATCTAAACAAGTTTTTGGCACAGTTGCTGGGGACTAGTTAAGGCAATTTAGTATTTATAGCTATTTGTGACTTTTACTTTAGCAATTCATTATTCGAGCTGACTTGTGCACTCTAGTCTTCTGTTTCTCTATATGCAAGGAACTATTTGAACTAGAGGGACCAAATCTCCTGAGCCGCTGCGAGTGATACTAAGATTGAACGTACAACAAGGAGAAATGATAGCAACAGGAGGAGGAGAATTAGGGTGGAGAGGTCGAAAGACTGTGTTGTACCCTTTCATTCAGAGAGCCTTGAGGTCTCTTTCAGTCAAGCTCGGGACAGTAAACAAGCGCTTCCTGGGAGGCAACCCAGAGATCTAAACTTTGTTTTATGTTTTTCTCATTTCATTCGCGTTTTGGATTTCAGTACTAATGTTTGTTATATATAGTTGTTTTATGTTATATGTTGTTTGTGTTATATGTTAATTGTTAGAATCATGCTTGAGTGGGTAAATATAGGGTACATCTTGTTTGGAGTGTGAGGAATGAGGCAACTCTGTTTCTTGGTGGAGATAAGGCCTTCTCTTAAAGAAAAAAACTTAGGTAAATTGACCATGTAAGTGGCGATACGCCGAGCGTAACTCTTTTGCGCCTGGCCTAGTAATCAATTTTTGGTCTCTAGAACCACCACGTCGGGCGCGTCGATGT